GTTCATTATTAAGAATCACAAAATAAGTAAACTAAGAACCAAGAACAAGCTTTGATACGTAATCTATGGAGAGTGTTTATAAATACTTCTTTTCATCAAAACCATATATAGGTTTGGTAGGCTTATTATGATTACTATATTTCCAAGTCGTTCCTTTGATGCAGATCAATATAATGAAATCAGGTTGGTTGGTAAGAGAGAAGAAGATTGATGAAAGCTCGGTGAAACACCTCTACCAAACAAGACCGAAGAACTTGGATGTGACATATGGACAATTCCACAAGTTGTAGATCCTTATACATACCTTACTTCATATAGCTAATCACTTCATAAATCAACACTCCACTTCATAAATCACATTGTAAAAGTATCTTAGAAGTGTCTCACACATTTATTACTCTCTTTTATCGACCATACTAATTTAACCATCGGAGGAGTTCTTGTCGAGCATATCCGATGTAGTTTTTACAAGAACTTCATTTGAATCCTTCGATCACTCCGACACCAAACTTGTGATGGGCTTAGTTGGCGAGATACATTTTAATTCCGAACTACTTACGTATCGGGCGATCAATATGTATACTAACAATAAGATTCAAAGATACTAATTGGAGGAGAGTAAAGATTCAAAGCATGATCATTAAGATTGTGACGGTGGATGGAAATTCGAAGATGATGATGATGTGAGGAGGGAGTTCAGCTTTCTCTATGCCTCAACATGCATGTTTAAGGTGGTAGATTTGTTCCATCATCCCTCTACCAACGAGACCCGAACAAGAAACCCTATTCGATCGCTAAATCCATCCATAAGCTTATTGTATCTCATTAGGGGGAATGATTATACATTACCTGAGTTTGACCTTTGTAAAGACGAGCTTTGGCAACACTGTAAGATTGCAATTTAGACGATAAAGAATCCAAATAAAAAAAACCAATTTACATGGATAAGATTGTCTAAGCATAAGCCTTATGTGTTGGGTTCGCACATTGTTTGTGGTTTTGCTAGTCTAATATTGTGGATCATGAGGTCTTGGGTGATCTTAATTACGTAGCTGAGGAATTAAGTGATTTTTCTCATCTTCATTTCTTGTGTGTTCACGAGAATGGAGAGTCTCCATCGATTTAATTCCTCTCCCAAATTAATCCAAGACTTTGTCAAATTAATTACTCTTCTTATTAATGCATATTTACCGATTGCTTCGCGTTAAATTCAGAATCATGAGAATGAATTTTTTATTATTTTCTTTGAATGTAAATAACAATATTTTTAGTATTATAAGTTTTAACTATTTGAGGTCGATACATGCGTCTCTTATCGCAATTGAGATACGTAGAAAGTCATATGTTTAAATTAGTCTAAAGTATTTTAATTCTTATTAATAATTTCTATTAAGATTCTTTTACGTCTTTCTCTATGTCTCCTCTTACCTCCTAAAATTAATCATTATTTTACTTATTCTAACGACATATACCCATATTAACTTATCATGATATCTAGTTATTCACAAATAAAAATATATTTTTTCTATATTTCCTTGTAACTCCAGACATCAATCTCCAAAATAAACTTTTTTTTTCTATATATATTATTTTTTAATTACCCAACACTTCAAACTATAAAACATTATTTGTTTTATAAAATTTTTATTATGTGTAATAAGAATGTTAGCCAAAAGACTTATAGGTATATCTAAGAGAGAGAGAGAGAGAGAGAGAGAGTGTGTGTGTGTGTGTGTATATGTTTGTATGGCCATTGAAGCTCACATAGTTTTAGTTTAGTAGGTTGGCAGCATTGGCTACATCTCATGTCAAGTTAACATGCAAGGTTCCATAACTCGGATGGTCTCAGAGCAAACAATACATATCAAGATCCTCGTTTTCCAGTTCAGAACCAAATCTACTGAGACACTTGGATGTTCTTGGATTCAAGATGTAATCCCAACACCCAAAAAGTCTATGAATGGAACGCCCTTGCGCTTCGAGGATCGATCATCCCCTCCATGCTCTTCATTAGGGTTCGTCGACATGGCCGAGTCATCATCCCCCGGAGAGAACACCTTCATGGAAACACGAGGAGGCACCCACTCGTACTTTGCATGGTAAGGGTGAAAGGACCGGCCGTGGAACTTGCAGCTGCCGAGAACGGAGGCGGCGTCTTTCTCCCCGCCCAACGTTCTGGGCGGGGACTGCGTCGCCGATCCGGAGAAGACCCACGAGCGCACGGAACTCGTCTCCTCGGCAGCACTCCCGAACTGGAAGACACGGTTGGGCGAGCCGTCGGTGTAGTCGAGAAGAAGGTCCCGAGGAGCTCTCTTGTTGAACAGCCTCGATCGTTCTCTCTGCCGTCGAGCCATGATCACATGCCAGTGGTTCTTCACGGCGTTGTCGGTTCTCCCGGGGAAGACCCGCGCGATCAACGCCCACTTGTTTCCATGGATCCGGTGAGCTGCCAGCAGCCTTTCCTCCTCCTCTTCCGTGAATGGCCTCTTGTTGATTCTCGGGTCCAGTTGGTTGAACCACCGCAACCTGCAGCTCTTTCCTGCGATCCACCCGAGCTTTAGTGAGATCCACAGGGACTGACGTATTGAAGCGAGCTCTGAGCTACGCAGTACCTGATCTCCCTCGGAGCTTCTCAGCGATGGAGTTCCAGTTCTGCGGCCCAAACTGCTCGACCAGCTGCCGCAGCTTCTCGTCCTCGCCCGGCCGCCAGTGACCTCGGGGGCATGGCTTTGTGTCGTCTGACCCTGCCGTCGCCGAAGCCGATCCCATAACCTCCTGCTGGTAGACGAAAGCAGGCTGAAAGAGGAGGAGGAGGAGGAGGAAAACGGGGGGCGAGGATAAGTAGAAGAAATGTGGGATTAGGGTTTGGATGGCAAGTCCTTTTTGTTAGTTTTACACGACAAAGTGGGTTAGCATTGTATCTTTCTACATGCCACCTTCTCATCAACTTGCGTGTTTGCCAATTGGTCCATCACCTTCCCCTATCAATTGCCTACTTATTTGCATTCTATACTCTCTCTCTCTCTCTCTCTCTCTCTCTCTCTCTCTCTCTAAGCTATCATGAATTTAGATTCACTTAAATTTGAGGACTAATCAAATTATTTATTTTTAAAAATTTTAATTAAAATTTTTTATTTTTAAAATAAGAACTATCGAATTCGAATCGAAAACAGAAACCATAGATTTTGGTTTGATTAGGGTTCCTTAAAAAATAGGAACAATAAGGTTACGTATGGTTTCGACTCGAGTCGAACAAACTAATTAAATGGCATGATAATCTCTCTATGGGAAGGAAATTGGGGTATGATTTAGCTGTTTTAGGTCATGTTCTTCTCTCGAAAATGGCAGACGGTTGTGGCAACAGCTAGACTACCTACCCACAATGCCACTGCAGTGCATTGAAAGGATCACCAATTGTGGTGTTCAATAAATGGCGATCAGGTACATGTCTTCTGTTTGTTCTTCCTCTTCCTCCTCTCAACATTCCCATTCCGATCCACCTTTCTCCGAGATGGCAAGTGCTTCTGCAGACATGCAACCACGCTTTCCACATACGTATTAACTGACCGCCGAGAGTGGCAAGAGTTGGGTGCCATCAGCTCGAGGTATAGCAGGTTTTTATGGCTTCCACATGATTCAAAACCTCTTCAGAACTCGATATGTAGCACGGCATTTAATGCAGAAAAGGTGGAAGAAAATAAACGATCCGATTAAGCTTTTATTGTTGCTTAACCATTCATTCGTATGGCGTGTGAGAACGGCATCAAGATAGGTATATAGGTAGCCCATCTCCCTTTCTTCACCCTAATGGAGATGCCAAGTCCAACTTTACTGATAGAGAATCGGTGATGGAGATCTCAAAACCCATTTAAACGAGACTGTTCTCCTTCTCCTTCACTAAGCTTATGCTCTTCACGACCGAACAGCTGTAGATGTATGTTGTGTGTGGTAGGAACCATACGTAGCCCAACCGAACATAATTCCCAGATGTTTTCTTAGTCAAAAGTAGTTTTACCGGTCAGCATGACAACATCAGTTAGCTGCGGTTTGATGTGAGAATGGCAACCGCTGGGACTAATCAAATGGCACTGTGCTACCTAATCCAGTTTACAGCCATCTATTCTGCACAGGTGGAGGATGCTTGCTTCTCTCACTCGCCATGGGGGGAGAAGACTGGGAAATCTTGTGGTAAAAGATTGATCTCAACAAGAAATGCTTGGCAAATGGATGAACAAACACCTGGTGGGATGCATCAGAAGCCATCAAGTCCACATCAAAAGGCAGGGATGATGCAGCGCATGGGATTTTGGCTGGTCCGACAAGGAAAGGTGGAGTCTGTTTTGTTCAAAGGAGTATTGCTTGGCATATACTTAGAAGGAGCAAACAAGAAGACTTTGTCTCAGCAATCCAAGTACACCTTTTATGACCGTCTCTCCTTCGAAGATGAACTACAGTTAGTTCTTTCTTTGATCACGCAACATAGGTTCTTGGGATCTTTTTTTTTTATTATGATTAAATCATGTGGTATCTTTGTGACATTACTCCGAAAACCTCGTAAGGTCTCCTGAACAGATCGTTGGGTCAACAAGGAACTGCATTTGGCACTGTATCAACTCACTGTTGATTCATGCAGCAGTAAGAACATGGTTTCTCTTTCATGGAGATCACATCAATGCAACGAGTTCGTATCTGTTTCGAGCTAAGGCCATGTTCTTCTTCCCCACCATACATACCTGTTCTCGATGCCCTGAAAGCAACAAGAAACCAGGATGATTCAGCCATACCAAAACGTCCCCCCTTCTCATTCCCACCATCCCTTTGACCCCTATCTAATGTTGTCTTGGCACATATCTCAACCATCACCACAAGAACATGGAGACATGCAGATGTTGTCTGGTACGAGAGAAAGAAGAGCAATTATGGCATCTCTGTTTTCATGCAATAAAATCGAAACAACTACTGGTTATTATACATCAAAGTTTATATGTGTACTGCTGATATAAGATATGAGAAAAAGTAATAATAAAGAGACACTAATTGCTACAGAAAGTTGGGATAATTACCTGTTTACTCTTTGGTAAAGCCAACTGGTTAACACAGGAAACCTGACCAGTAAACATTTGATCCAACTTCCAATTTGAAACAAGATATATCTATCCAAGTTGAATATAATAAACCTTTTAAATGACATACCAATAAATAAGAATCTGAATCCAGGTAGATAAAAAGTGAGACAGAAAGTGCAAGCAGTCTTCTGATCTGCATGGATGAACAAACCAAATGAGACTTTCTCATCACACACTTATGTCCACCCCGTCAATCCTAACTTGTCTGCAAGGTTGTACATAACAAGATCATTCCATGCTGGACCAAAAAGCTGCTCCCCTCCGATTAAGAATGTAAGGGACCATGAACCAAGGAGCACAGTGAAGATCGTAAAGCCAATTGCGGAAGGCATTACATCTGCATATGAGCCATGATTAACATGATACAGAATGATAAAAAAAAATCATACGAAGCATATATATAAATATAAAACATAAGTGAATTACATATATCTGTATACATACAACGACGACGAACTGTAATGTTCCAACTATTTCGAATTAGCTACATGGATTGTTTCTTGTCATTCAGCTCTACATAAAAAAATGTAAATATTCAAGAGTATTTGGATTTCTGGTTATAGCTTTTTTAATAAAGCATTCTTGGGTTTTCTTATAACTATTAATATTAATTGTTTTCACTTTAATTTCCACTTTACAAATACTATAAGAAAAATTAACAAAGTCAATGAAAGAAAATACTATTATGAGCCTGATTTATAGCAGTGTACACAACTTCAAAGAGATCACCATTCATATCACCCTATTGTTAAATCTGAATGCCAAGGAACAATTAAGCAGTTGACCTTGATACAACAGCAATATATCTAGCAAAAAAAACTCAGCCTGCTTGAAGCTTCACTATGATGTTTTTTCACATAGTAGTGACAAGCAGAGTAGCACCATTGAATTAGGTCAAAACCTACAAAATTTTAACTTTAAACTTATGGAGCAAAAAGCACTATGCTGCCAGCTTACACGAAGTGAAAGTGTGCAGTGCCATGCAATTTGAAGGGGAAAAACTGGTTGTTGAGATCAGGTAACTTTGCCACTCCATATAACATTTACAGATGCTTGCATACTGTATTGGAATGGACAAATTCAGGATCAACTTTTAGCTACCAAAGGATGTTCAGATAATGCAAAAACAAATTACATGTCTGATATTTCATGATAGCAGCAGAAATGCAAAGTGAGATTCCCAACTTTTTGGTGTGGTTGGTCAGCATGATACTTTAGTGTTCAAATTAAGTTGACATCCTCATGGAATGACAATGTTTTCTAGAGTTATCTCTAAAAAACTGATCAATATGTGGAGATATGTCAATTAGAATATGCTGAAAAATTAGCTAGACTCGATTTCAAAAAAAAAAAATCTCTTTATTCGTCACCCAAGCTCTTCTTGTTAGTGTTATTTTCCTTTTTCTGTTAATAATTGCATTATTCACCAAAAGTAAAGTCCATAAGGACATGTGTAGCCCTTTCCTGTGAGATAGTTGTGCTATCCCATATTATCCATAACTAGGTTAACCAAAAAAATCACTTTTCTCCCCTAATTATTATAATTCCAACACTCACTTCCTCCAATGGATGGTGACAATACTGCAATCTGTAGCCATTATTTATCAGATCTATGATATTCCTTCCAAAACCTACTAGACAATGTATTAAGTCAATATTCACTTAAGGTTCTCATGCATATCACGGTCAAGATGGTCGATTTGCATAACTCAATTCTTTTGGGATCAAATATTCCAAAATTTTGTTCTTATTCTATTGGGAACTAAGAAGATAATTCTATTGCCACAAAATAATTTGTACGAAAAACCATCCTGGCCAAGCAATTATCACTTAAATCCAGGTTATATACTCATGAAGCTATCAATCTACCAGAGCTTAACAAAGAAACAGGTTAACCTAAATGTAGCGCAAGTATACAAAAACGATGAGCAAATTCCATGGCTTCAAGGATAGTCTACTCCTCTAGCTCTAACCTCCGCTTTTTGTCTATGGGTTATAACATTTGTCTTGGCAGAAAGACGATATGCTAAAAATTCCAAAATTTCTTTCGTTCCAGAAAGTATACCACAAACAAACACTCGTTTTCTTCCCAATCTGAAATCGAATGAAATTCCAATTGCAACACAAAATATCACAACGCAAAACAAAATTTGTTCACTAGACCGAAAGCTAGAACTCACTGGACCTACATTCCCATATCCTGCGTCTCAAAAATCACTCATCTGTCCTCGATTAAAGTTCATAGAGAATAGCCACAATTTAAATTGACCTAATTTAGAGGATTTCACTCGACAAAGAAGAACTTCAACAAAATTGTCAAAGGAGAATTAGAGCAATGAAAATCCAGTTGATGACAGTATATAACAGATAAGACAAGAACAGCTTGATCTAAGTCAATCGAATAGCAACAGGCAGAAAAATCACACTTTAATTGAACGAACACAACTAGGTCGAGACCGAAAGCTTACAACGGCGAACGTGAGGGGAGGGATGAGAGTTCCTCAGGACGGGCCAGAAGTAGCAGCAGTTGACGGCCCAGAGCAAGGGAAGGAGAGCGAATCCCCAGTAGAAGTAGCTACGGGCGTAGGCGGCCGACTCTTCTTCCGACAGCCCATGAGGTCCGTCCACCGTCGGCCAGGTGCGTCGGCCGGAAACCCCTTCGCCTCCGCCGCCGGGGCGGGGACGGGGGCCGATAAGGCCCTGCTCCTCGTCGATCGTCTCGCCTCGCCGCTCCATTTCGCCCCCCTTCTCTCAATTCTCTTCGACGAGCCCTCGTCTGTTGGAAGTGGGGGAAGAGCGAAGGGGTCGCATGCGCCTACCGTCGTCCAATCACCGCCATCCAATCGATAATGAGCGGCTCTGATGAATTGCTTTGATCCTTCGGCCGGTCTTTTTAGTTGATATTTTACCAATAAAATATTAAAGCAATAGTCACTGACTAATTAAAAATAAAAAATAAGAATACCTCCCAATAAAATATTAAGACAATATTAATTAACTAAAAACAAAAAGTGTATATCTTCCAAAATAAAAAACAGTGGAAGAAAATGTAGCAAATAACAATATATTATTGTTTTCATGGATTTCAAAAATATTTGACATATAATTAAATATAAAATAAAATAAAATTTGAGTTTTTTTCTTTACAAGATATGATAAATTTGAATAATTATTATCTAATATGAAATAAAGTGAAGTTCTGAATCTTGATTATAATATATAAATTCATGTATTACATGGTATAAATGTCAAACTAAACTCTGGTGATATGTCAAAGCTTAACATGAAGTCCTGAGTTTAACAATCCATCACAACTCAGCTTATTTACATTTGAATCAAACTCTATGATGCTGGAAACTGTAGACAGCACAGCCACAAGAATTCACCAATGCCTGCTGTTTCTGCAACACATCAGCTGCTAATTTGCATCCACAAAATTCATTTCAAAGAAGGTATGAAGTAGAATGAAATCATGTTTGTATTTCCCTTTTTTCCATTGTTTTTACTCCAAGAACACTCTGCTATGTATTACATGCTATGAACGCAAATCTACTCTATACAATGTGGAATCTGACTGTCTTTGGCTGCTACATCTTTATGAACAGAACCAAGAACATTAGGAAAAATAAATCATGTTCCAACCATTCCACAAGCAATGGCCCTTATTTCACAAACCCATGCTCAATCTTCGAGGAGAATCATACTGTGATTGGGGCTTGAATAGTGTGATGTCAAACCAAGGATCTGGTCGGTTGCTGCATGGTCTGGTTGAATGGAGTGCTAAGTTGACTGGGCTGTGGTTAGCTGCTCCAGATGAATAAGTTGGATGTGGAGGAGAAGGTAAGCAACTTCTATTAGACTGTTTGAATTGCCTTAATGGACTCGAACAGGGGGACACAGGTAGGGACATGTTCATTCTCATCCTCGGCAAATCGCTGCAAGAAGAAAAGCAGTGTTAACACCAGCTTAGGAACAAACAGGGGTTCATTAATTCCAGCTTGAACCTCAAAGTACCTTGGGTTCTTGCATGCCAGAGGAAATGCCGAGCGTAAACCAGATGCTCGTCTTGTTCCGCAATCTCTATCATGAAGTGGTGAAGTACTCTGGTTGGAAGAAAACTCCACAGTGCTCTGTGCATCAGCAGCAAATGGTTAGTGTTTGTATTGTCAACATCAAACCAAAATAACCACTGAGAACTTAAGAATTACTTCCCACATAAGTTTCTAAATTTGAGTTGTAATTTGCAACTTAATCGAGCATATATGTGTACACAGCAGACTTAAGTGTGCACATGTAAACCAGTAAATATGAGAAGTAATTTTAGGCCAATCGAGCATATGAGTCCACATAGACAAAATTGTGAGACAACCAACTGATCCAAAATATACCGTCAATTTCATTAAAAAGAATTAAAAGAAACATAATGCATGGTGAGAATAATGAAGCATATATCAATTTTTTTCTTGGGTAAACATACACTAAGAAAATTATTTGAAGTTGTCATCCAAAAACATAGTGAATAATACTTCATAAAATTCATCAAACAATATAGCTGAGAAAAATGTGGAATTGACTCCTAATAGAAATGTCATTATGAAGGAACAAGAAGCTAATGGGTTGAAAGACCTGATGCACAAAACCCCCAACATTGCAGGGTTAAATTTGATATTCTATAAGGATTTTGAGCACGAACCAACAACATTTTAGGAATTAAACATACCATGAAGAAAGAGCTTATCATGTAAAAGATTCTAAGAGAAATTTGAGAGGAAAAAATATTTTATCATGCATCAGAACAAAAAAAAAGGGAATCGTTAAGTCAGCCTAGTGAGTTGGCAATCTTAAGAGAATCATTAAGTCTTTCATTTATCTAAAAAACCAAGGAAATCAAACCATGGATGTAACTCTGCCTAGTGAGTTCTACCTTTTCACTATCAAAAGCTGAAACACATAAGCGGACATAGAAAAAAGAACACTTCCAACAAATTTAATAACCTGCTCCATTGTTTGGCGAAGAAAAACTTGCTTTTTGACCAATTGTTAACTAAAAATAACAAATCTTGATGTAGATAAAATCAGGAATTTCAAATATGCTTCTGTAATTTTTTTTTAAACTTTACCACTGCATGACTTGCATCAGAGGTAGATTGTGGCACATCCTTCATCATATTCAATTTTGCAGCCTTGATTATTGTTTGATCACGAACAAAAGGGTGATCCATCAGTTGAGCTGCTGAGGGACGAGCTGATGGGTCACGCTGCAAACATAGCTTTAAAAAGTCCTTTCCAACAGGAGAAAAATGGTCTGGGAGTTCTGGTACATCTTTACTATTGCCAATTTTAAATATTGCAGCAACCTGTTAATTGAATCATAAAATTAGAATTACAAGAAGTTAACTAAGTAATCATATAAGCTTGAAAAACATTCATGTTGGAGATTTTGTTTAAGAATTAAGTGCAAAGTATGCAAAACACACCCCTTCAAACTGGCTCCAGGGAGGTTTTGAAGTTGTCATCTCAATAATTGTACACCCCAGGCTCCATATATCTACTGAGAGGTCATAACCACTGCAATTCATGATAACCTACATGGTGTTTATCCAAAAAAGAGGAGAGCTTAGCGATTACAAAAGTATTGAAAGAAGGTAATAGCTGAAACTTTCATGTAAAACTACCTCAGGAGCCATCCAGTAAGGGCTTCCTTTAAAAGACCGTATTGAAGTGTAAGCAGATATCTGTTACAAGACAAACAGTGTAAAAAGCTGAGTGAAGTTGACCAAAACAATAATAAATTAACACAAAGAAAATGGAATTTTCAGCAAAGTACAGTACTGCATAATGCCTCATACATGCCAAAGACAGCAGGAGCTACCCAAGGCTAACTTTTTCTTAAAGTGACTGCAGTTTGTTCTTGTGTTATTTTGAAATATCATACTTACATTTCTATACCAATTCAACCTACTTGCGAGCACTAATGATTGCAGAAGCTATTACCATTATTTGCAAAACAGTCATCAAGTTTTATTTGGTTGCTAGTTAACCACTGGCTATGCACTCTTGGAATTGGATTCCATAACAGAGAAAAGCAGAACTTGTTTTTTCTTCTTTCTTGCATGTCCCTTTCATTAATGAAATCAGGTGATGTCACATGCTAGACATTGATCTCAATTATTTTCTCCTCACCAAAACCTTTTCATTTTTAATGTTATTAGTTTCTACTTTTAGCATCTTATTTTCACTTTTCAGGGCATTGGCTCAAAATCCACAGGGAAGGACATATATCAAAAAGAGAGGCTAGACTCCAAAGTTGCCATCTCAACTAAACTCATACGATGGCACTAGATGAGATGTTAACCTTTACCAAGGATTAGGCTTGCATTTTCTTTCCTTTTAATTAGATATTAGTAACTTGAGAACCCAGTAGTTAAAGAAACAGTAGTTAAACAAATAATGTTTATTCTTCTTCTAATCATTGTATCTTTCAATTCTAACCCCTTTGTTCCGACATTCCAAGTTACTAAAATGTGTTGATGGATATTAGGAAACTGAAAGTATAAGTTTCAAAACAAAAGGATGAAGCCATAACTACCACCAAAAGTCAATAAAGAGAAGAAAGACAGATTATTTAAGTTACTAAGGATGAGGGAAAGTTTTAGCTTACAATAGATGCAATCTAAAACTGGAATTTGTCTTTTGAGTCGAGAAAAAAGGTTGTAGTCACAGTTCACATGATCTTTAATAAATGTATCTGGCATTTGTTAATATCTTTCATAATTTTAACAATTAATTTGCCTTCCAGATTATCCCATTCTACAAGCAAAAAAGAAAATTCATTAACTAAGAACCTTACATGTTTAGCCATGCCAAAATCAGCCAGTTTGATTTCACCATTGGGATCTACCAGTATGTTTGCGCCTTTAATATCCCTGCAAGGTCACAATCCATCTTCAGTCATCATAGCAATAATGAAAACAGAAGGTATTTCCTCTGCAAGGATGTCACCAGAAAATTGAGTTTTCAAGTACCTGTGCACAGTTTTTCTCCCATGTAAATAAGCAAGTCCAGAAAGGATTTGAGCGGTGTAGTTACGAGTTAAAGATTCCCCAAAAGGACCATATTCCTGAAGTAACTTGTGAATAGAACCCCCAGAGACATACTCAAGATAAACTGAGAGTGTGTCTTCAGCCTGTACAGGAAATGAAACTAATCCATGTTATACCTAATCAAGCTACTTAAGAAAGCAAAATTTTCATAGAAAATTCTAGCCAAAATTCAGGATATGAGTTCATTCAAAATTGTTTCTGAGAAGATAAAATACTATTCGTCCCTTATAATGAATTATAAAATACATACAAACCGTATTAGTGGGTCAAAACATAAATGCACATGTACTGGACTGCACAGTGACACAATGATGTTGAAGTTTAAACACATTTCTAACTTCATTCATGGATAGATTAGCTGCAAGTAAAAGCTCAAATAGCCATCTATAAACAAGATTACTTCCAGAATAAAGTATTGTATGGGTTTCAATTTCTTGCAATTGTAATTTTTCTATAGATAACATTAGGTGATAAATATAACATCAATAGATTGATTGTCACACCAGGAGATTGATTCATACAGGAGTGCTCCAACTTGCTTCTTATGGTAAACTTGATCCACAATTTTTGGGATGTACCAACAGAAAAGATGGAAAAAAAAACTTGAAAGACTTCCCCATGATCTAGAGGGTCGAACTATGAATAATTAAATGGCATGCTGGATTACAAGCAATGATTTCTAGTGGGTGAATTTGTT